GCCCTACACTTCGCCTACCGGTACGAGGCTGCCACTCGGGAACCTTTCTTCCCCATCGGTTGTCGGTTCTTCGAGCTATATGGCCGGCCCACTGCCACTTCAGCTTACTAATCCGTTGGGCTATGTCGGTTATTCTGGTTCTACTGCGGATATCCTCATTCCTAAGTTTATCACGCAGAGAAACTTCGAGCATAGCCCTCTCCATAGCTCGCTGAGCGACCTTGAGTATCCTCATACGGCCAGCAGTGAAGGACCACGTCTCAGTACCGTAAGTCATCACTGGCAACACGCACTGGTTGTACATTTTCGTTTTAAGGTTTTGAGGTATGTCTGACGAGAAGATGTGTCGTAGCTTCCCGAACGCTGCCCAAACGAGTTGAATCCGTCGATTGACCTCTCGGTCGAAGTTGGACTTACCTAGTCGGACTATTTGTCCCAGGAAAACATACTCGTCAACAACTTCGAGCTTAGTGCTCCTAACAACTACCGGCATAGGTGTGACATGGACATTAAACATGATCTTTGTTTTGTCCATGTTCATCTTAAGACCTATCCGTTGGGAAACACTATTGAGGTCATTGAGCATAGTGCTGAGATCCTCCAGCGATTTTGCCATAAGGACTATATCGTCGGCAAATCGAAGGTGAGTGATGTACTCGCCATTGGTGTTGATACCGTATCCTTTCCAGTCCAGAAGCTTGAAAACGTCTTCCAATGCAGCGGTGAAGAGTTTCGGGGATAAGACGTCACCCTGTCTTACACCTCTCTGCAATTGGATAGGTTTCGTACTCTGGTTCTGTACTCGGATAGCCATCGTAGCCCTACTGTACAAGCACTTCAACACTTCGATATACCGACTGTCAACTTGGCACCGCTGAAGGGACTGCAGCACCGCCCAAATTTCGACGGAATCAAAGACTTTCTCATAGTCCACATACGCCAGACATAGTGGCACATTGTACTCTTCGGACTTCTGTACAACTTGCCGAAGGGTATGTATGTGATCTATGGTGCTAAAGCCCTTTCGGAAACCGGCTTGTTCGGGAGGCTGGAAGTCGTCAAGTCTGCGCGCGAGACGATTCTTAATGACTCTCGAAAACAGCACGTAGACGCGGCTCAGAAGGAAAATCGGTCTGTTGTTCTTCAAGAGAGCGTTGTCGCCTTTCTTGAAGAACAAGACCACCGCACTTCTGCTCAACGCCTCCGGTGTAATGCCACCATGGAGGACGGAATTAAAGAGCTTCTGAAGGACTTCAAGTACCGGTCTTCCACCCACTTTCAGAAGCTCCGCTGTAATTCCATCCTCGCCTTGGGCCTTACCGTTTTTAAGGTGCTGGAGAGCCATCCTAATCTCGCTCAGACTGACATCCGGGATATCTTCGGAATAGTGTCGGATGAGACTCGCTCTTGGATCATTACTCACACTTGCGTGTGGCTCCAACAATGATGTGTACAGCTGCCCATAGAACCTCTCAATCTCACTCAAAATCTCAGGTGTCCCGGAAACGATGCTGCCACATTCTGTCTTCAGCTTTGACAGTTGGCTCTTTCTGGCAGACAGATCTCTGGCAAAGACTTTGGAGCCTTGGTTCCGCTCAATCGCTTCTTCAATACGAGCTGTATTGAAGTTGCGTAAGTCCCGCCGCATGCATTTGGAGATCTGTCTGTTCAGATGCCTGTATGCTGTCAAGTCTGTTGAAGAATGTAGCTTCATCTCCCGTCTAACAGCCATGAGATTAAGAGTGTGATCGGAGAGTTTTTGTGTTCTTCTGCGGCGGGTTTTGCAGAACTTAGCTCCGACCGCATGGACAGTTTCCACGAGCTTGTCATTCATATCGTCCACTTCATTTCAGTCTTCCAGGCACTGAAAACGGTTTTGTAACTCGAGCTGAAAGGTTTCGGGACTATGGAACAGAGCACGAGGGGGACGGAGCGTTGACTTCATTAGACTAGACCTCTCCAACTTAACGTTTAGGTTCAGTGTGCCTCTAACCATTCGGTGATCGCTACCAGTTTTCACCCTCGCGATCACAGAGACATCACTAAACAGTTGTCGTCTGGTCGTCATAATGAAGTCAATCTCATTTTTTGTCGAACCGTCGGGGCTCGACCAGGTCCACTTCCTGTGGGGCCGCTTCTGGAAGAAAGAGTTATATCATAAAGAGTCTCTCTTTCTACATGAAGTCGGCCAGCTGCTGGCCCCTTGGATTCCGTTGCCTTATTCCAAATTTCCCTAATTTCAGCTCACTATTCTCTCTTATGCCTAGTTTTGCATTGAAGTCTCCCATTAACACCGTATATTGGGTTTTGGAGGAATGCATGGCTCTAGAGATATGGTCATACATTTTCTCCACCTTCTCATCGGGGTGTGCCGAGGTTGGTGCTTAAACCTGTATGACCTTCAGCGAATACCGTTTGGTGATTCTGAGTATAAGGTACGCAACCCTCGTCGACACACTCCCGATCTTTACAACGTTGTTAACGAGAGACTTGTGGACGATAAATCCGACACCTCCTTGGGACAGATGGTCGCCCGCCCGGTGATAGAGCAAGTTGCTGGATTCGAGGATTACCGTGTCCTCCCCCTCTCTTCGGACTTCGGATAATCCTATAATATACCGGCGCAACTTGTCTATCTCTTCTTCCAGCTCCACGATCTTCTCGTCAGTCCTCAGGGTGTGTGCGTTGTACGTTGCCAGGTCGAGTCGTCTAAGGTGGCAACCGAACCTCCGCCGGAGATTCTTAGCACCCACTGCCCCGCCGTTACCATGGTCGCCACCGTAGCCAGGAATAGCGGGGCCGCCGGGGACTGGGGGCCGTCTGTTTGTTGCTTTAGTCATTGGGAGGTATTTGCCATAGTTGCCACGCTTGGCGAGCGGGTTGGCAACCGCAGGTTTTTTATTGTAATTTTGGCTATTATCAGGAAGATGCTGCTGCCCATCTTCTGCCTGTTTCCCTTTGTCACCTTTTACGACACCCACGGGAGGATATGGGGTAGTGGATATTCTTGACCGCCACTACACGGCATATATATAATAGCTCCAAACTATCAATCGGAGCGTTGACCGCTCCCCGGCCAGAACACCTTGCCTGGCGGGAGATCTCCCCTTTTCCTTCCACCCGTCACAGACGTTAACATGTGGTTGCCTTTATGAGTATGAGGAGCAGAAAGCCGCTACCACTCCTATGAGTTCGAAACGTTTGCAGTTATACGCGCTATAAAACACTTTCGCCATTACTTATATGGGCGAAAATTCACGATAAAAACGAACGTCAGTGCATTAAAAGCTTGGATGCACAAGAAGGACCTTTTACCAAGGATTCATCATTGCTGGTCATTCTTGAAAAACTACGACTTTGAGGTAGAGTACTGCAAAGGTGAACGTCTCCAACATGTTGACTTTTTCAGTGGGAATCCGACTGAGTTTGCACTCAATGTTATGACAAGAGACTTTAAGTGGCTAAAATTGAACAGCAACGGGATGATGAACTGCGACCTATAATCCACAACCTTAGTGAGAATAACCCAATAGAGGACTATGTCTTGGAGGATAACGTCTGTCGTGAAGCGACAATTAACAACAACGAAACAACAAAAATAGAACAAAAACGAATAATTATATTTAAAATTTAATAAAATATTTACTGTTTTATATTAAAAAAAATGAAGTATGATGGTGATGATGGATGACGTGAATTACAATTATTTTAAAAAAGATAATGAAGATAGGTGAGTACTGAAGCGGAGCCCGAAGACCAAAGTGGCACACCGCGCTTGGTGGTGGTGCTCACCGCTCACGGAGTATAAACAGGCCTTGCCTGTGTTAGGTGCGCAGCGCCTGGTCTAGGCACACGCAGCGCCTGGAGTAGGCACACGCAGAGCTTGGAGTAGGCACACGCAGCGCCTGGAGTAAACATACGTAGCTTCTGGAGTAGGCACACGCAGTGCCTGGAGTAGGCACACGCAGCGCCCGGAGTAGGCACACGCAGCGCTTGGAGTAGGCACACGCAGCGCCTGGAGTAAGCACACGCAGCGCCTGGAGTAGACACACGTAGCGCCTGGAGTAGGCACACGCAGCGCCCGGAGTAGGCGCGCACAGCGGCTGATGATAGCGCGGGCACTAGTAGGTGGAGGCGTGGGCGTGGCTAGGCGACGACTTTAGGTGAAGGCAGAGGCTTGCAGGAGAGGGCCGTACTGCCCTGGGGATAAGGCCTTTAGGAGATGCTTCACGTTTGAAAGCTGAAGCGAGACTTACTTTATTGGCCGATTGTTCGGCTTTTATAACTTTTTAGAGAGCTCCGCGTTCGACGGAAAATTATTAAAATTAAAAGCAAATTTTTGTAAATGGCCAAGAAGAAAAGAGTATTTTTGTGGAAGTATTGATGTAAAAACATCAGACCGGTAACGAATTTGAATAAAAATTGCCATGACAACCAGATAAACAACGATGTCAAAACATGTCAAATTTTGGTTTCAGGCTCGTAATAGAGAAACGGCAAGATTTAAGTGAAAAATGAGATATTATTGATATAGGAAAAAAGGTAGCGCACCAGCGTGCACGAAGCCCGAAATTGCAGAGTTACGGAGAACTAAATAAAAGATCGAAAAAGGTAGACTCCATCGACACCGATTTAAAAAATGCTGATAGCGTGAAAATACAAAGCGAAAATGATTTGTTATTGTGTTCTTATGGTTTAAAAACGTTACAGGATCCTATGGAAATAAAGGTGATACAAAATATCCAGTTTTGAGGTGAATGCAGAAAATCAAAACAGAATGAAAAAATGAATTTAAAATTGTGTAAAATTATATGTAAGTAGCATAACACTACACATCTTGAAGAAACAAGTAAACGATCCTGTTTTTGGTCAACAACTTAGCATAGTTGTCCCCAAGGCCTTCCATTTGAATATTATCAATTCTTTTAATACCGCACTGAAACATCTCGGCTGGGAAGAAAACATTACAAAAGATCAGAGAAACTTATTGGTTTAACAAAATGAGTTCTACTGTCGGAAGATTTGTAGACAATTGTGTAATATGCCGAACATCCAAAGGAAGATCTGATGCTATACAAGCCCAATTACACCTAGTACAAAAACCAATGGATGCTTTTCAAGTTATTCATATGGATATAACTGAAAAGCTAGGCAGTCCAGATAATCAGCAGTACGTCATAGTCACCATTGACGCTTTGTCAAAGTACGTTCTGCTCTACTTCTCCAGCAACAAGAACGCATTTAGTACATTAGCTGCTCTAAAACGCACTGTACATCTATTCTATACACCAACTTAAGTAATAGTGGATAGAGGAAGGGAGTTACTTGGCGAGTTCAAAGACTATTGCGACTACGCTGGAATAAATATTCACGCCATAGCTCCAGGAGTTAGCTGAGCAAATAGTCAAGTAGAAACGGTCATTGCAAATCTCAAAAATGCATTGGTGATGACTAAAAGCTACGAAGCAGAGCAGTGGCACACTACGTTTGAGGAACTGCAATTAACAATGAACTATACAACTCATCGTGTCACTGGCGTTGCTTCAATGACACTTATTACACAACAAAAGCATTGTGTACCTCTTGAGTTACTCAGCTTGGTGAATATTGACAACGAGACCGTAGATATTGAAGCAATCACAACAGAAAATAGCTCGTTCAAGCCAACAAGATAGACAAAGATTCAATCTACATAAAGCCAAAATCCATCACTTCCAACGAGGAGGCGTGTATGCGTGTTGATTAAGAATAACCCTCGCAATCAAACATCTCTAGACCTTAAATTCAGTGAAACTTATAAAGTTTTCAGAATACTAGAAAATGACCGTTATTTGGGGAAGAAAGTAATCGGCAGAGGACGACCTCGCAAGTTTGCTCACGATCAGCTGCGCAGCGCCCCACAACCTGGTGAACAATTGACCGTATTGGCGGAAAATGTATTGCCTGATCATCAGGACTCGGCTTCAATATCAATTGAGCCCGTCCCTCAGACTTCACGAGATCCAGCAAACCACGACCTATGAGGTAAAAGCAATTCATCAAAATAAAGTGTAAGTAACTCAATTCAATATTAAGCTTTAACTTACTCTACGTGACACTTTAACATACGTACGTATAAAAATCTACGAGAATCTACAAGAACCTCCGAAAACCTCCGAGATACTTCGAAAACCCTACGAGAACCTACTAACCTCGATTACATTAATATTCTCAACCATACAAGGAATTGTGAACTGGTGTAACAACTAACATAAATCAATGCAAGTTGCTTATAAATATCCGATTCAAAATAAGTCCAATCTATTGTTACAGGTATAAACAAGAACTACAATCAACGAGGCTGATGCAGAGCGCGCACCGCCTATCAGTATGGCCGTATTGGCGCAACAACAATAGTTCTTTGATAATAATAATTAATTATTAATTACTCTGTTAAGTAGTTTCGTTGGGTTAAAAATATATCATAAGCCATTAATTAATCACTCTTTGAACGTTACAATGTAAAAATCTTGTGATTCACATAATTCATTAATTGACCTAAAATTTATGTATATGCGCTTGCCACGCTATAAAAACGGCCGCACAGAGCACGCTAAGTCGGTCCAATAAACGAGTCTTACAGTATACTTGTGGTGTGTTCTTTGGAAGATTGAAGATGAGTGATCACCATGAAGGTAACATTAGTGACATCAGCTGTGCCTACGTCACGATTTTTAAAACACAAAGGAGCTGGGTCCTCCGTCAGATATAATGTTGTATTGTTAAGCAAATAAAACAAATACCGTTTTATATAATGGCTTAATTTCATAATGCTTACACTTTATGTAGAAGAAACCGCCAAAATTACGTCACGCAATTTTTTAAATGAGATTGATAATATTATAAAAATAGAAGTTAATATTTATAAAGAAGAATCAAATATCTCAATTCATAACGAATCGATGCGTATAATAATTTCTTATATTTATGCGAACACTACACTTTTAAATAAAACTAATTTTAAGGATTTTATCGCGTACATTAACTTATTTTATGTTTCGAGCACTTTATAGCACCCATGGTCACGGGGGGACTGAGGTGTACGACGTCCCAATATCATAGTTATCCACGGCTATCTCCAGATTAAAAATTATTAATTTTTGTTCCGATCTACGCAGTATGAACTTACAGTATCTTGAAGTCTTGCAGTTTTATACTTGGGTTGGGATTTAATTTTATTAATTATGGGATCCCAAGCCGATGGTGGCACCCAGCCATCTTCTCTTTTGAAATTAGGGTGTTTTTTTGATTTCAATAGCCACGCGAATCATCCTTAGAAGGAATCGGTGTTCTTTATTGAGGATTTGTGGTGTATCAAATCTAATGTAGTGAAGGGGGCGATCCTGTACGTGATCACAGACTGTAGACTTTCCGGAGAGTCGATTCTTCACATCAGCTATGTGTTATTTAACGCGGGTTTTTATGGATCTTTTGGTTTGTCCTATATAAGAGAGACCACATTCACAATCAAGCTTGTACACTCTTGTATATTATATGTTGTATTTGTTGTTATAAGTTTTTTTAGTATATAATAACATAATTTTTGGTTGTATGGTCTATAATAAAAGAAATAAAAAACTATTACATTATGCAACGTATAATAATATAGAATCGATACTGTTTCGACCTGATTTTAATAAGCAATATATCAACAAAATATAGTTAAGATTGTACAAATTTGACATAAACAAAAAAACGACATAAAAGAAAAATTTAAGGTTAAATTAAGAGTTATTGTAGTTATGAAAAAAGCTTGTAAATTCTTTTTCTAATACATTATTTATTAATTAGATATCGGGAATCGGAGTTTTAATTCACTTCATTTATATTTTATTTCGTGATATTTATCACGTGGGTACTTTATAAATATGGGCCCCCCATTTACTTGGGTATTATATTACTTTTTCATAACATACATTTCATTTTATTGGTACATAAACTTCTTTTTATCATACTATATCAAGGTAAAACTGTACCTTGGGTTGTGCGCACAACCTCGAGGTCAACTTTTAAGTCATTTTAAAAGAACTCCAACAATTGTCACGGAGGAAAACTAAGTTCACACTATTATCCAATGAAGCTTCTATGTACCATTATCAAGGGTAACAAATTTAAGACTTCTCTGGTTCCCAACAGTACTAATATGAGTAAACTCGTTCACATCACTTGTACTGAAGGTATTGTTCCCTAGAACTCGCTACTCCCGATTTTATCATCCAATCATGGATACATACCCTCCTCGAGGACTATATGCTTTACCAGTGATGGACGTTCCTGTATCTCTCCATTACTTATTTATCAAGGTCAACTTATGTTTTATTTCTATTCTCTTAATAAATCTTAATTCCTTCTTTATTTATACATGACAGTGGTTTTTTTTACTAACATCTTAATATTTATTTGAGTATATCGGTTATTTTTATACACTTGCATGCTCCACTTCCATATACTAACTTGCATTATTCTCGGCAGGAGTTTAAGCATTCATCAATATTTGGATGATCAGTCCAATATTGACGAAACTTAGCAACTCGATCATTCGTGTTTACATTTTCGAACATTCTTTTCTTTCATTCCTCATATCTATTAATTACATACATTCTAATTTTGTAGAAATAGGATAACATTTTTGTCAGTCAAAAATTTTTTTGGCTGTTTTTAACTTTGTTAAGGAACATTACTATTAAACCTTCTCTTTAATATTTTATTTTTTACTTTACTGTATTTCATTATTTTCATATTTATGTTAATACTATGACAGATCATTTGTTATTTATTTTCAGACTGTTATTATTTTCGTCTTTATTAGAATGCTGTTATGATTTATTTTTATGTACCTGTTCATATATCGCATGTTGCTCTCTATTGTTTTAAGATAAGCTCATTGCATAACATTACATGTCATATTTCTAGATATTATATCATTCATAAGAAAGGGTAAGCAGACCTTTTATATTCACTGTTATGTGTAAAAATTGATTCTTGTTACATTTGAATTTCTAATTGAAATTGAATTTAACTTATCTAGATTAATTTGTGGTCGTTAAGAAGAAAAAGTGTTATTTGAACTATAAAAGATAAAAAAATTAATTTATGACGAACTATGGTAAATTTAATACGTAAACATTTAATCTATCACATTATTTAATTTGCACGACACAGTAATAAAAATAATATAAAACAATAACTGAAGTGAAGTGAATATAAAATCGTCCTGTACCTTAATAAAAAATGCCACAGAAGTGCATACGTAACTTAATTTATAATTATTGCATTTTGATTATTTTTTTCACATACAGTAATAAAAATATTAAACAATCATTTGAATCGTAAACTATCTGATAGTTTCTTTCAATTTAAACATAGGTATATTAAATACAGTTTATTTACCACTTAAATTCAACAAATATAATAACAAAGAGAATAGAATACAATCACAAATTGATATATAAAGTTTAAAATGGAATTAAAATCACACAGGTGCGAAGTTACCTCTTAATATCTTCTTTGTTCTGTTCTGTTCTTAATTATACTACTCATAATTATTACTATTAAATATTTTAATCTTCACATTACCTTTGAAATTTTCATAATATTTATCTTTTTCAGTTTACCTTCCTTGGTTTATTAAATACTTTCTGTAATTTTCTTCAAAAAATAGTAATATTGAGTTCTTTTCTTATATATTTTTATTATTTTTCGTCACGTCCGGTATTGCGTCCATTCCGTTAATATTTTTTTTCATAATTTAATTTAGATTTCTTATAATTTTGTTTTCTTCTTATAAGTAGTAGGCCTTGGCGGTGCGCGTGCATTGTCGCAGCGCACCGCCTGGCAGGGTCGCCATGTAATGTCGGCAGGTGTTAATGAAAGAGACGTGTTGTTGATACTAAGTCTTAAATTATACTGCTCTCTTATTCTATACCTAATACTAATATCATAAATTTATATTGTCGGGGGTGATGGGGAGGGTACAGGGGACTACAATGTTATTAAAACATTGATGCTAGTGGTAGATGATTTTGCTGCTATCCGGAACTTCATTACAAACACATATTATTTTCTAGAAATTAGAGGATATAGATCGAAACTAAATCCAAATAATTGTGCATGTATAATTTATTTACTGATTTCTTTTTGAGCCTTTCATTACATGACATGTATAATTACTTACGTTTTTCTTAAAAACTACGAAAATGGTAACGAAAATTATATTTTTAACACGTAAACAAACTTTGAAATGTTATGTAAATTCATA